AACAATGATATTAATAGTAAGGAGTAGTACTGCTGGTAATGATACACATACTGCTACTCATACTACGAAGCCTACTACTAGTACTTGCTAGAATTATGATTACTGGCATTGCTCTTATTATAACTACTTCTCTTCCCCCTCCTCCTCCTCCTCCTCCTCCACCTCCTCCACCGAACCTAGGCGCGAGGCGGAGGGCCTCGCAATATGATGCAAACATTGCGGGGCCTGGACGGCGGATTCTCACCCACTGGAGCCCAAGTTCCGCGATCCCTGCCGTAAGGCGGCCAACGCCAAGACGCGGCGCGAAGACTTGAGCAGCATCAAGTCCCTCCAACGTGGGTTTCACCCAATCACCAGGCTGAAGAGGTGGGGCGTCCAACGGCGTGCGCTCGGGATGTGTGTGTGTGTGTGTGTGTTGCGGGCTACCTCCTCCCTCGCGGTGGAGAGTTGGGCCAACCGATGACTTCGCGGGCCACCGATTCTGCATGATGACCTTCTGGGCCCTCGGCCCCGTTGCCGCGGTGCTGGACGGCGTCTCCGGGGCCAGGCGCAAAGCCTGGTCCAGATCGTGCCAGTCCAGGCAGGCACGGGGCTCGGGGGAGGCCCCCGCGAGCCCAAGAGGAATGCTGGTTGCGCTGGTGCTCCCAGCGGCGGCAAGGGCCAGGGTCCCGAGGGGCCCGTGACTGCCCGCGCACATCCTCGTCTGAGGTGCTCTCCCGCGGGTCTCCGCGGGCTCGGTGGGGAGCGCCCCGGCCCTGGCCGGACGCGTCTTTAGCTCGGTCGGTCCTCCGCCTCCGCCTCCTCCTCCTCCTCCCCCTCCTCCCCCGCCTCCTCCTCCTACCCCGCTTCGACCATACCCTCTCCTTCTGATTAGCCCCTCCCCTGTGGCACCCCGAAGCCAGTCGAAGGGCGGACCTTGCGTTTCGCCTGAGGCTTCCCCACCATTTATGAGCCTGAAGCTCAAGGCTGGCAACCGTTTCACAGATGGAGGGCGGCTCGCTTCCAAAATGTAGCTCTCGCCTGAACGCAGCGCACATTCGTCGTATACATTTACCAGAGTCTCATGAAATGAGGGCGGGTGGTTTTCTCGACTTAGCGCCTCACACATTCGTTCTACACGTTTGCAACAGTTTCCCGGATTAAAGGCATATTGATTTTAAATGTGGTTTTCACCTCAGCGCCGCGCACACTCGCTGCAACAAATGGCAAGAGATCAACGCATTTGGGGGCGGGTCGTTTTCAACATGTGGCTCTCCCTATAGCGCCGCGCACATTTATCTTAACCATAACCCGGAGAAGCAACTAAGACCCCCCCCGGCGTTATCATGAGCACCGCACTGTAATTAAATAATTATTTGGGGGGTCGCCGAACGATATAATTAGCACCGCGCAAATGAAAGGAAAATAAATAATTCCTGCGCCCCGCCTCGGATGGCATCCCAATTGGAATTGTAATAAGAATAACAATGCGAATAATAATAAGAATACGAATAAGAACAATAATAAGAGTAAGGCGAGTGTTACAGGTACTGCTGACACCGAGCGGAGCGGGAGCAGCACGAGAGTGAGGAACAGCTGAGAGAACCAAGGAAAAGCTGAGAGAATCAAGGAAAACTTAGGAAAAGCTGAGACATGCAGAGAAAAGCTGAGGAAAACCTCAGAAAAGCTGAGAAAAGCTAAGGAAAGTCTGAGAAAAACTAAGGAAAAGCTCAGACAAGCTAAGGAAAAGCTGAGAAAGCTAAGGAAAAGCGAAGGAAGATTCGTATTCTTATTCGTTCCTTTTTATCATGTGTTTCATCATCCTTGTCCTATACGATTCTTATTACAACCCCTTATTATTATTATTATTTGTTTTAAGAGTTTTCTTTTTCCGGCCGTCGTAGGGGGTGCTCCACCCCAGGGTATCGCCGCGCCTCCGCGCAGTGGCGTTATCTTAGCACCCGCACCGTCAACTTTATTCCGTCCTCCGTAGGCACGGAGGAGGAGGGAGCTCTTCCTCCTGAATCTGAAACTGAATATGAAAATAATTATGCTGTTCTCGCAGCTCGCCAATTCTATCAAGAAATGTGAGGATGTCTCAGGCGATGTGGCCAATTCTGCTAAGAAATGTGAGGATGCCTCAAGCGATTTGGTCTATTCTACTAAGACATGTAAGAATGTCTAAGGCGATTTGGCCAACGCCATCGCCGTCTCCTCCTCCTTCTCCTCCTCCTCCTCCTTCTCCTCCTCCTCCTCATCCTCCTCCTAGCCACAGGTGCCAGAATAACGCTTCCAGGGTGCGGGACGGTTATCGTTTTGCCGGAAGGGGAGGGGGGGTTCTGTAATTGCTTCTTCGGGTTATG